TAGTTTTACCCCATTTGGGTCATCCTTAAACTAAGTACTATAGGCAGTTTCTTTGATGCTGCATTTAGCATCCTTTATCTTTATTCTCTGTAAAACAATGACCACTTGTAGGAGTTTGCATACTCATCTTTTCTTTTTTAAAGTATTTTATTAATTTTCTATTATTACAATTTGTTAGTGCTTAATGAACACCGTGTTGAATGGATTGATTTTTTGCTTAGTCACAAAAGTTAAGTTCTTACTCTCCATCTTGTTTTTCCAGCCATTGATAAAATAAATTCCATGTTTGGAAGTATTCTGTGTCTCTTTTTTCTTTGATTCTCAATGTAAGACTATCCATTCCAGCACAGTCCAATATTTTCTTCGTTATCACTTCATCCAATGGTGTTATCTCATTTTTCCAGTGCTGCGCAAATACAATCCTCACTGTTGTTAATACATGTAATGCTAAATATACATTTTGTTTATCAATTTTTTCTGGAATTATATCTAATGAAAAAATTTCAGATTTAAAATCTACTTGTTTGCATACACATCTTTTCTGACTTATTCTACTTTTTGTCTTTTCTTGACTCTATTTTCTTTCTTTTTTTTGTCAGTGTGGAAATTTTCTTTGTTTAAAATGATAGACATGATGCTCATGATCTTTCCACACAAGTCCTAGCACAAAGGAAGCAAAATATATTACAACCTTGATTTCATTCTCTTGTGGCTATTTCTCTCATTCCCATCTTTGAAAATCAGGGAGAGGAAGTCATTTGCAAATGAGCTCCACCTAGTGGCGGTGCAGGCTTATGTGGGTGAAGTCAAGCTGAATATAAATTAATCTTGCAATGAAATATAACTTGCATATACAGATGGTAAATATCATAGAGACAGTAATTATTTCTGACATTGCCATAAGCTAATGTAATATAGTCTGCTTTATGTATTGTATTTTTCCAGCAGTGTCTGCAGGATATGATTAAAAAAATGGCATCCACAATGATGCAATAGCCCTGATTCCTTTTTATCTGTGTTGAATTAAGATACATAGTCTGCTGAACTGAAGGAGAATTTTGTTTCTAATGTATAGATAGGCCTATCAAAATCTGTGTGGCTCCCTTTATTAATGCCAATCCTGAAACTTTTTTCATCATCACAGCAGAAAATATTCCAATCTAATAATGTTATTTTCAATTCAGTACCAAATTACTTTGTAATATTGCAGTATTGTTTTAAAACAAAATATCAATATGTAAGAATGACTAAATGTGACTTACTCTAGCTGAAGTGAGTGTTCTTTTATGGAGACACCTCCAAGGAACTGATACTGCTTTTTCATGTACACAAATATTTTCCTGATCTGAAAATAAGACTCGACGGAAGGTAAGGAAAGTAGAGAGTAGCAGAGAAACTTTGTTTAAATGTCATAAAATTTATGGAAATGTATTGTTATTCTATAACTTTAAAAGAGATGCAAGTATGTCTTCTGAAGATTATTAAATTCTAAAGATTAACTTCTTTACAGTATTCTCTTAATGTACAGCAAGGTAAGTTAAACTAGTAACTTAAACCAAAAAAATATTCAAGCTACAAATCTTTGTCTTCCTAGGTAATAAATATTTGTTTCAAACCTATCATTCTCCATGTGATTATATAGAAAGTTTTGTAACAGGTTTACACAAAGACCCAATAATAAAGCATTACAATTGTGAGAAAAACAAATACACAACCCCCTCCCATAAATTGCATAGTGAGCTGAGTGTATTTTGATTTGAGCTAAAAAATTACCATAGAAATTTACTGTTTGAATCTGAAAAAACATCTGAAGCTACCAAGCCATTTCAATGGATCCACTTTGGCTTTTTTGAATTTGCCAGTAAAGGTTTTTTTTTTTTTTGTCCTTCTTAGCTTAATCATCATTTGATCTACCCAGATTCTCATCCTATAAATATTCAGTACTGGCTGTATGAAATGAAAAACTACTTCATATTCTTCCTATCTGTGTTTGGAATGTTCCTGGTAGGGATTTTATGTCTGGAAAATACCAATTCTTGCTGAGGGAAAGACTCAGTAGGATTTCTTCTTCTTCAACTAATGTAGATTATATGAGTAAACCACGCAGTTCAGCAGCTGCAACCAAGCATATATTCCATTACTGCAAATTCATCTTTAGAAATAGTCAAATTTTCAATATATTTTTGTGACCCAGATATGTGTCAATAGGATTTTAACTGTTTCTTTTGCATAATTAGGATGGCTGCAGAACTAAAAACCCAACTAATTACTTTGTGCAGGGATGCACTTTTTTTAGATTTTGAATATTTCGATTAGCTTCTAAAATCAACAAATATCTGCCAATTTTCATATGAAAATCTATGCAAACACTGACCCTTAGGCACAAAGCTAGTTGGGTGACCTTGGGCCAGTCCCTCTCTCTCAGCCCTAGGAAGAGGTAGACCAGGGGTAGGCAACCTTGGCTCTTTTATGACTCATGGACTTCAACTGAGCTGATGCTGGCTTAGGAATTCTGGGAGTTCAAGTCCACGAGTCATAAAAGAGCCAAGGTTGCCTACCCCTGAGGTAGACAATGGCAAGCCACTTTAGAAAAATCTTGCCAAGAAAATTGCAGGAACTAGTCTAGGCAGTCATCAAGAGTCAGCACTAACCTGAAGGCACCTAATTTTAGGAGTACTTATCATAAGCAAAAATGCTGCCATCTGAACATTGATGTACCACTTATAAGGATTTGAACAGGTATTTATCATATGGTTTGGCCTAGCAAGTGAGGTTCACCTTCCCGGTTTGGCATGTTATATCTGTATAATTTTTTAGTTATAGTTTTATATATATTTGTTGTTGTTGTTAATTGAGAAGTCGTGTCTGACCATATATATATATATATATATAGTTATAGTTAGTTTAGTTATATAGGAAAAACAGGTCTTTCCTATAGCATTTTCTCAAAATATTACACTAATATACTGTAATATCTGCCTTGCACATTGAAGAACTTGAATGAAAAGCTGGTAAACAGATGCGTAATTGTACATTGTTTAACTCTATTACTCCTATTTTAGGCTTACACTACATTTTTCATGTTTTTTTTCCCTTAAACTTTTGGGAAATCATAAATCACTGTTGTAGTAACAGATGTTGTGGAGCCTATTGGAAAGGTCAAGCACTCTGGGAGCTTCAAGTGAGAATAAAAGGCCGCTAACCTTCGCATCCTATCATTTCAGCTACTGAAAGTTTTGCTCTTGTCTTCCAGATGAATTCAAGGTGTTGGTCTTAAGCCATTTAAAGCCTTACAGGCTTTCCTGGATGTTGGTGGGACTTTGTGTCTTGTTCTCAGTCTGCCTGGATATTATAATCTGCAGGACAGGCCACAGAGAGGTCTGGCTGTCAGGTTTGTGGATAAGGAATTTCAACATCTCTCCCAAACTGTAGGATGCATGAGGTAGCAGAACTTTGATTTTGCTTTATTTCCAATCTATAAATGAAGGCATTTGCAGGGAAGGAAGACATCCCTAAGGGATGCAACTCATGGAAATGGTTTCTTTTCTCAGCCTTCAAAGAAAGAAAGGAATCAGGTCCTCTACCCTATAAACAAAACTGACAAAACAAGAATTAGCACACTGCCTGCATTTTGTGCTATAATACAATGAAGGATTGCTGCTTGTTGTGGCATAGATGCCAGTCATTTTAAGACAAGACATTATCAACTTGTAAAATAAAGTCTCACCAGTAGAGTTCTATTTTCAGTTTAAGGAGATATTCTATGCTATTCAAAAAATTTTATTTCCAGAAAGGGATAAACTCAATGACATGTGATGAAAGTGCTTGATACTGGTAGAAAATGATTGTCCATTTGATTACAATAAATAAAAGTGTAAAGTATAAAATCATGGATGAAAAGAAATGTAGTTGGTTGGCTTGCTTTAGTATTTGTATTCTTAGTATTTCCCAGTCCTGCTCAGGAAAGAAACCATTCCCATGGGTTGCATCCATTAGGTATTTCTTCCTTCTCTGCAAATGTCTTCACTTATGGTTTGAAAGAGATTGCCTAGTGAATCATTGCTGTCCTTTCTCAGTATTTTGGTATCTTAATTTTTTAATTCAGTCTACTTGAACATAAGACTTGCCTGAAAATATAAATAAAGAATATAAAATTTGAAAGTGGCAATGAACTATGCACTGTATGCCACCACTTTATGGTTACTGTTATTGTCTTTTGTGCTCCTATAGCAAGAAAAATTACAATCTGCACAAACCCATGTACCCCAAAATGTTTTAGACTTCTAAGATTCCAGGTTGTTTCTTAATGTGTTTGTAAGTGTCAGTAAGGATGTGGCTATATGGTATCTTCCAATCACACAGAATCATGCTTTCTGCTGCAGATCCAAATGGATGACACCTTGGACCTTGTCAAGATGAAACCCTACTTTTATATCCTGTTGTATTTTTTTTCTTTTGGCACTAGCTAGAATTGCCAATTAATTTGCTACCTTTACACATCTTTAGGATCCCAATTTCCCCTCTGAAAAATATTGTGGCATACATTTTTGTACAAAAGAAAAATTAGTCAAAAACATTGTTTAATTTGTGCTAGATTTTATTACTGAAAATTGATAGTTTATTTTAAAAATGAAAAATGGGCTATCTACAGAACACCCAAAAGCACTGTTGCAGCTCCTTATGGTATAGAATGGTAAGTTTAACAACATCAACAAATCCACATTTCTGTGTTCTAAATTTTCACATGATATTTTCACATACTATTGGATGAAATTAATTACCACGGGTAGTTAGATATTAGCTTCCAACCAATTTCTTTGCCTTTAGAACCTATAATAATCCTTTTATTGTTGGTTATTGTCTTTCTCCAGATTGATCAGGTAGCACTTGGTTATGAAACAATCCCTTTCTGGCAAGTATTTTGGGATTATATTGCACAGAATACACTATATAAATCTCAAGTGTTGTTATATCAGCAGACTGTAAGGAGGCACTGAAGAAACCATTTCTGAGGAAAATATTTTCAGTCATTTATTTTGGTATGATTTTATGAGGACAAAGCTAATTTTTGTGGTCAGCTGTCTACTTTTATTCTAAGACTTAGTTTCAGGAGCTATGAAGTGGAACCACTGCTGCTTAATAGTTCCCAGACACTGGCAGTGGTAAGTTCATTTTTCATAATTTTTCATGAGGTTGAACAGTTAAGGCTCAAAGCAAATGTTATACTTGCTTAGTCAGGATTCTAAAAAGATGTTCTTTTGTTCTAAAATGCTTTCCAGTGATTTTATATATATGGTATCCATGCTCAGTTCACTCCAGTTATTTTACTTGTCAGTTTTATACAAATGCAACTGGAGTGGTATTTTTATAGGAACTATTGAAGCAAAATGGTATATAGGGCTTTTCATGTTTAATGTGTACATTTTTTTATTGACACCTTGGCTGATAAAACATTGCCTGACCTTCAAAAGGCCCAGCACTGAATTTTCCTTGCCAGTTACTGTAGGTATGGAGAAATCTTTGTATGACACCACAGCATTTAGTCTTTTTTTAGTTATCCATTGAATTCTGTTTTCTTGTGGTCCACAAGCAGAATCGCCTTGAGATGTGTATGGATGAGACCAACTCCTTCAAGTAACATCAAGAATCTTTTATTTGCATATTCTTAGTGACATTGTTGGAGAGCAAGTTAACAAGCAAAGGGCTGATCAGTGCCAAAGAATTTTTGTGTGTAAAATAAGAGATATAATGTATAGAACAGAGGTTTTCAATCTTTTTAGGCTGCAGAACCTGTTAATTAAAATAAATTCCTAGAATCCTTGATCCAAAGACAAAGTTCTATCTAGTGGTAAAAAATTGGCCACATTAGAGTTATTCCTTTTCTTTCTTTCTTTCTTTCTTTCTTTCTTTCTTTCTTTCTTTCTTTCTTTCTTTCTTTCTTTCTTTCTCTCTCTCTCTCTCTCCTTTCTTTCTTTTTCTTTCTCTCTCTCTTTTTCTTTCTTTTTCTCTCTCTCTTCTTTCTTTCTATCTTTCCCCTCCCTTCCTTCTTTTCCTCTCCCTCCCTCCCTCCCTCCCTCTCTCACACACACAATCTCATCAAATTACTGGAAAAGAGTTTGAAAAACCCTGATTTAGAAGACTATCCTTCTAGTGTCTGGTAGCAAAAAAGGGAGGGGGAATAAACATTTGAGAAGCTAATTGAATGACTTTGGTACTGCCATTAAAGATGACTCAGGAGACTCAGCAAGTTCAAAGGCTAGTTCAACCATGTCTCATTCGAGGATTTTAAGAGAGACTACACATTATATTCATCTTGTAACCCTCACATGTTTCTACCGATTCCATGTTCTTAGTTTACACAATATAACTGCATTGCTGTTTATGGAGTGGAAAAACAAGGAATTCCCTATCAGGAAGAGAGTAGAGGTTAGTCTGCCTTTACATTACACTTCAGAAGAGCTCTTAATAGAACCCTCTTGAAAGTACTGAACCATGTGACTTACATTAAAATAGAAAATTGGTTTGTTCCACTAATATTCCTACAACTACAGTTATTAATGTTGCTAATGGTCTTAGTAAGGCTTCTGTGGCAGATTCTAACAAAGGAGTTCCATGTGTTTCTGGTTAATTCTTGCATGTGTTTGACTAATAAGCTCTTTCAAGGTAACCCCCCCTCCCCTCTTTGTTGGTCACAGACCTTGCTGTACCAGTTCTTGAATCTATATCCTGTCTAACATTCTGCTTCAAGGATTCTGAATAGATGGTATCGGTCTTGTATTGGCTCTTGATAGCATTGTGTGATATGATACAGCTTAAATGCTTGTTAAATGAAAGCTGCCCCTTCAGGTTATTAAAGTTAATCCACATAATTGCTCTTTTGGAATTCGTGCAAATTGCAACAATACTCTGATATTCTGACAGAGGTAAGGATCTGTCACCAGTAGGAAGACCATAGACATTCTGTACATAGTTTTGTACAACCCTGTTGAGATAGAAAAGATGATACAGACAAGGGGGATGGATGGTTTTAGTGATTTTTCCAAGGCCATATAGGAAATGTATATGATTATCCTTTTGTGTATGATCGGCCAAAGCTGTTGTATAAAATGTGTTTTCACTGAAAATAATCAGGATTAGTGAACATAATCAGTACTGTAGAGCCATGGATTCTTCATGTGGCATATATTGAAATAGTTGTGATAAATATCTATTATCCTTGCTTCCTTGTGTGCATGTTTGTGTGTGAGAGAGCTAGTTATCTAACAGTAATATTGTTATTAACCCTTTTATATTAAGAAATACAAAGAACAGTTTCATAATGCTTCAAAACATGAGCACTGTTAATTAGGAATGAATGGCATATTATATTAAAAGACTTGAAAAATGAAGCTTAAATGGCAGTAATTGCCTGCCTTTCTGATTTTGAAGCGGACCAAGAAAGGAGCCACAGAAATGAACTTCAACTCACTTTATAAAGTATAAAGCAAATTTGTATTGCAGTTTTGGACTTCAGGGCTCATATACAATGCCTGTGCCATTGTGAGTTTTTACAATAACACTCTAAATCAGTCTTCCCCATCTGCCTTCCAGATATGCTAGAGTAAAATCCCAGAATTTCCAGCCAGTTCTGGTGAAATAATGCTGTATTTAATACTTGCAACTCAATTTTCTCTGATGGTTTCAGTTTATCTCCCCAGTGCCTTTTTTCCATCAGTCAACTGGGAAATTTTTGTGCTTCCAATGTTTTTGCAATCTTTTATGTTCTTTTTCTTACTGCAGACTCCACCAGTTGTGGTGAAGGTAGGGAATATAAAAAGTATGCTTCTTGTTAAAGCCTCACTGCACTATTTTATATAGATGGTAGAAATAAATGCCAAAATTCTTCTCTACAGCCTGGCTGCACATTTCACTTTGTTTGTCTCATTTCATTAGCTTACAATTAATTCAGTACAGAAGAACATGATCCTCTTTTTACCTATGGCTATATGTGACATCTAATAAGCTTTCTTGAGACCAATGTGTGTGTGTGGGGGGGAGGCAAAATAAGTAATTATATGACAGGAACAACTCTGGCAAATGTTTTCATATTGTCATTATTCTGGGTGGCCTTTCTCCTACACCTGGGAAGTTTTGCTGGATGAGATCACTGACTTAGCTAATCTGCTTCCAACTAGACACTTATAGTAAGCATCTTATTACAGGTGTGCAGTTGTATCCCTAGTTCATCTTCTCTAGGAACTGATATTAGAGACATGTTGCCAATTTTATTTATTGATTAAATTTAGAAACTGATCTTCCTCCAGGAGTTGGGGGAATGTAGACAATGTACATGCTTTTTCCTTTGATTTTTTACTACCACAACAACCCCACATGTAAGTACGGCTAAGAGAAAGATAGAAATTGGCCCAAAATCACCCCATGAGATTTCATGACTCAAGAAAACCTGAATCTCTCTGGTCCTAATTCCATATCATAACCAGCATATCCTGCCTAAGATACTGGAGTCAAATACAGTTGCCCTTGAAAGTCAGATCCACCATGAAATCCAGACTGTACTGAAGGTGGCTTGTAAAACAAAGCTGACTTTCCTATTGCAGATCTCAGAACTTTGTTCTCTGCATTCCTGAGTGACTCTCTAGCAAGAGACTCTAAAACACATTTTTAAATCTTACTGAAATAGTGCTGCGATCCTGATTTCAGAAAATTTTCTGCCCTTGATCCTGTTATGGAAAAGGATAACTTGTTTCAATCATAGAAAATGTGTGCAGCTAGATGTATGGTTTTAGGCAACATTTTTTGTTTTTTGTTTTAAAGACTCCTTTTTCTTTTTCTTGGTTTACTGAGTAGATGGAAAGTTAACAAACATTATGAGAATAATTAGTATCAATTATTGCATGAAGCATGGGAGAAAGCCGAAAGAGAAAATGAACAGAATGTACTGGCCAAGATTTCTGGGTATTGGCTCTGTATTGGTATGACAGAAAAGGAATTAATCTGCGATGAGCATAGCGTTCTTTCCCTTTGTAGAAAGTCCTTTTTCCTTGTTCATAATTTGGATACTGTAGCAGTAATGAAACATGAGGATCCATTTTTTTTTAAAAAAATAACTGCCTTAATTAGAATGTATTTAATCTGAAAAGCTTTGCATGCAAAGACACAGAGATGGATCATTATGGACCTCCCTGAGTTCAGTTTGATTTCCAGTTGTTTTTTTCAGCAACAGCTTTTGTTTCACAGTTCTTCCTGACAAATTGTCCTCATAACTTGGAGAAGGTGTCTCTGGATATAATGTAAGGGTTCCTAAGGATAGGAACAAGTCATTTTCCAGCATCTGGAATGTCTCAAGCAGTCAAAGTCAGTTTCTCCCCTGTCCTGGGAGCCAGAAGAGTATAGATATGTGTATGTCACTCTCACTTACCCACTCACTCTGCTTTTGCACAATACTGTTTGTGGCAAAGTATATGGTCAATGTAACAGCAGGCAATGCCCCAAACTAGGTTGTCAATAAAATAATCTCTCCAGACAAACATGTGCTACAAAGATGTTATGATTTATGCATCAGTTATGCATTTGTGATGAAGGCAAAAGCCCAACTTTATGTGATAATTGCAACACAATTCTATTTTTGTCATCTTTCAGTTCCTTGAATAGGTGTGGACCTCTTCTGAGTTCATGCATGTGCTTTTGGCTGCTGCAAAAACCAAGACCAATTATGGTTAACTGGAATTGCAAATAAATGAGGAAATGTTTGATTTGGATCCAGTAGTTTGGTTCCAAAATTAATATATTTAACACTGCTGAGACTCTATGATTCAGTATTAGTTGAGTGATCAGATAATGTGCTGGTAACAATATCATTGGAATAAATGGTTAGCTTGCTAAGTGTGCCACAAAGTTGTTTGCTTGCTATGCATTCTAGGAGAAAATACTTCATTTCTTCCAGTCATATGTTTTAGGAATTAGTGTTGATTTTGGATATTTCTATTCTGCCCTTTAAACAAAGCACTTGAAGATGCCATGTCTTCAATAGGCTGGCTTGCCAACATTAAACATAACAGTGGATATGAAGCAATTTATCAAAATGAGTGAGAAAAAAAGCAAACTCAGCCATCTTTAAGCAACTGAAATAAAGCAGCTAAGGACCCTCTTTGGGGATGTAATT